TAAGCAAACGAGCCGAACACAAACACATTTTTTTAGCTTGAAAATGTTAGGCTCACTTATATTCCCAGCTTAAGATATTATTTATGTCCGGATCGCTTATTTATCAAATGAATAAAATATGAGCTACTTAATGAGTCAAACTCGAAGTTTTTTTAAGCCTGAAAAATAGTCACGCGTTAAGATATTTGACCGAGACTTCAGAAATAGAAAATAGACTAGAAATTCTAGACTAATAAATCGTCATCACATTTGCATCAACTAATTAAATATTTTCTTGACAAAATTATAATCACCTCCTCTTAATCAAAGTCAATTACGTGTATGACAACATCTAAATTACAAAAATAAAGGCCTTCAATTCATGAAATTAGTGTAAATTACAATTAATCAATCATTCAATGAAGAAGTTTCATCTAACACTGCCTCTAAGTCCTTGGCTTATTATACATCGGAAGTGACCGGTCTTCGGTTCACAGCCGGTCCAACTCTTTAACGCTTTAAAATTATTTTTGATGTTTGGTATTTCAAAACTTAAATTATAAATTTGAATAATAAATTTTCTATTTAAAATTAAAAAAAAATTAAGATATTTATAGTTATTTTAAATACAAAATATTAATTTTTGGAAGTTACTATGTTTTAATTTAAGGGAAAAAAATTTTTTGAGATTGCATGACATTATTTGCCTGTGAGGAATGCAAGAGTAACATGCTTGGGTTGGCTGAGCTAGGTTTAGGGTTGCCTTGAACCCTCAAATATGAATCCGAGCTTTTTCTACGAGTCATCGGGCTAATCTAACCTTAATATATTATAAAAAAAATTCATTTTATTAAGCAAGAAATAAGATGCATCATTTCGATTAGAAACAATCGAATTATTGCAGCTATGTAGATTCGATTTCAACGGGTTTATGGTTGAATCGAACATGATGATGAGGTAAGCCCAACATCATCTAAAGTGGTCCAATCCGAATTAAAATAAGCTCAGTTCAAGCACTTAAAATATAGTTTGAAATGTTAGGATATTAATTAAACGGTCAAACAATCTATGAAATTAACTTGCATATTTGTAGTCAAAGCAAGCGGCATGATGAGGGTAATCCAACTACCTTAGTTTCATTTAATTTTTTGTCCATTAAGTTAGTTCAATGCTAAATAAGCTGGTTATGATCAAATAGAGTACATGAGTTGTTCAATGGAATTATATCAAAATTTAATTAAAATAATCAAAATACTACTCTAGAAAATTATAAATGTACTCCTTCATTTTCTACATAAAAGGCACTAGAACTTGAAACAGAATTGTGCTTGAAAATTAGAAGAAACTTTATAGCTCTTGTCGACGACCACCACCATCAATTCATCAATATCATCCATCTAATGTTGTTTGAAATTCATTTAATTTTAAGGTCATCAAGGGCCCGTTTGGGGCAGTTTATTTAGTGCGGTGGCATTTTGAAAACACACCTGACCTATTTGGGTAAAGTGCATTTTGGCAGCTTGTGCATTTTCAAAAAACTGAAAATAGCATTTTCACATCGCACCAATCTAATCGCGATGACGGTTTTCTGGCTATTGTCTGGCTTTTCCATAAAAATAAAATTTGTAATAGCAACTCTACCTAGCTTATCAGCAGATTATTTTTAATCAGCTTATCAACAAATTATTCAATAAGTTACAGTTGCCCCAAACATACTTTAAGTTAGTTGAAGCTAAATGAGCTGGTTAAAATCAAATTAATACTAACATCTTCATGTCATACTTAATTATCAAAAACTAGAGCTTAAAATATCATTTTGTTGCTCTATAATTTCCAGCATGCAACAATGCAATTAGTACAATTTGTTCAATCAACTTGAATTATCTAACCCTCATTGAATCCAACAAAAACAATTAGAAAATTATATTTTCAATTCCAATCATGATTTAATTAATAGAAAAACATACCAAGACAATTACCATGTTGTTTCATAAATACAAAATAATCAGGTAGAAATATCATAAATTATTGAACCAGGAACAAGTCCATTGTGAAGTCATGAGACCAAGTCCATTGAAGTCATGAGGCTTCCATCCTTAATGTTTATTAGTCTTCCAATACGACTTTCACTCTCCATCACAAAAGAGTACAAGACCAACACTCCCTCATTCTCCATATAAAGCACAAAACCTTAATTTTGGCAACACAAGTGGAAAGAGATCGAAGGAAGAAGAAGATGGGAAACTATCTCTTCCGGAAAGTCATGCGGAGAGCTTCGGACTGTGAAGTGCTCGATGGTCGCCGGCGAAAGAAGGTGGTGAAAGAAGAAGAAGAAGAAAGGAGTGAAGCTTCTATTATACGGGTGAAGATAGTGATGAGAACGAAGCAGTGGGAGGAGTTGGTGAGCCATGGAGACTTGCAAAGCTTGGATGCCTCTAAGCTGCTTTCTCGTGTGATTATGAGCGTGGGAATGTCGGGAAGAAATGATGTGGGAGAGAGGAAGTGGAGACCTTCGCTGCACAGGATAGAAGAGATTTCAGAGTAGGTTTTTGTTCTTTTTGTCTGTATTATTTGAGTATTTTGATTGGAGGGCCGTGCGGGTGATAACGTAGATCACACAATATCGTATGTCTGATGGCGTGTTGTGATCCACATCAACTCCGTTGTATTCGATTTACTGGTCATAATATTTTCTTTAATGTTAATTAGCTAGCCGTAGATTTTTTTTTGTTTTTTTTTTTAACTTTTTTTCATATATTTTTGTTTGTAATGAAAAATATTTAGTTATTTTTAGAATTATTCAAAATAGTTTTTGAATGTTTTAAAAATAGATTCATTTATTTTTAAAAATAATAAATAAAAATATGTAAAAAAAATGTCAAATATATATTTAAAATTAAATTTATATATGAAAAAATCTTTAATAAGCCCTTGGCTATTTAGCCTTTTAGAAGTTTAGTTTGTTGTGAATTTTATCGGAAAATGATTGGGTGAGAGCACTTTGTTTGGATCGCTTTTATATTTCTACTTTTTAAATTAATATTTTTAAAATGATGTTGTTTGGTATATTTATTTCTTTAATAAATAAAATTATTTTTAGAAAATTTAAAATAAATTTAATTTTTTTTTGTATTTAGAAAAAAAAATCATCACTAACAATCATCCTAACCATCATTACCTGCTGTCATATCTAGCCACAATTATGGTCATCATCGATCGCCAAAGACCAATGCCTAGTTAACAATTATTGTCGTTGTCCTGTTGACAATTTCATCTCAAAATATAAACTATATAAAATAAAAATGATAATGTGTAGGGATCCTTTTATTATGGAAAAGACGAGCCCAATGGGCAAAATGCAGGATTCAAACCCGTGTCCTCACGATTAGAAACAACACACTCAATCATTACGTCTCATATAAATTTCTCATTGTAGATGGAGAGATTCATCACTAAGAAAACTACCTTTGGTGCTTGTTGGTGGGTAGTGATTATTTAAATGTTTAAGCCCTTTGAAATATGATAATTTGCATAAAAAATCATAATCATGAATATTTCAGACACCTCATCATATAAAAATTAGGACAGGTACTGTTCACTAATGACTGATCCCACACCCTTTCTTCTTTCTCAGCTAGATACAAATTACTATATAATTAGTTGGGATAAAAGTATATATATATATATATATAGAATATTTGACAGATCTATAACACAATTAAAAATTTAAAAATTAGATTGATTTTTAAAGATCTTTGCAAGTATTTGACAGGTCTTTGTCCAAACTCGGAATGCAATATGCTTTACTTATTTCAGAAGGATCATATCAACTAATAACAATAATGATAAAACTATATATATCGGCCAGAACCTAACCGGCCCGACCTGATACTTCCCCGAGTCGGTCTGTTTTGGCGCAAAACGCCGAAAATTTTCGGTGCGCGCACCAAATCCCTTCTCAAAGAAGCGCTCGTCTCCCTCGATCTTCCAAGTAACCGTGCGTATCTAAGCTCCAATGGAAGACTTCTCCGTTCCCTCATTTTCATTAGGGTTCGACATCGACATAGCCGATCTAAGCACCGAAGGCGAAGAGGACGAAGAAGAAGGCGATCGACGCCCCCTTCAGGCTTGTCCAGACCAGCGGCAGAACAAAGAATGCAGCATAAGTGAATCTTCTTTGATTCAAGAATCGGAAGATATTGGAGGTCAGGAAAACCTAGAAGAGGCGCAAGAAGAGGACCCCCCTGCGCGGGTGCTCAAGCGTCTGAAGAGGGGGCCGCCACCTCCCTCTGTTGCGGCAGCTGGAGGTTCTCGCACGTCGGTTGATGGAGGCAGTCTGACGCGTGAATTACCTCCGTTGGAGAGTTTGCATGACGATATTGAGGAGTTCTCTTCTCCAGAAAAGGTGCCTAAGCACTGCCCAGGTGAGACGAGCTGATTTTTTAAATTAGGGTCTATGTTTGGCTTTGCTTGTAGAATGGGAAATGCCTTTCTCTCGCTCAAGTCGTTCGATGAGAAGACATTTTATTTTATTTTTTGGTTCAGCAATTAATCGATGTCTGCAATTTTTAGACTTTTAGTGAATGAAATGGTGATGGGAGGCGTTGTTTTTCTTCTAGTTTTAATCAGGAGAAAATATTGAGTCCAGAGAATTGCTTGAAAGTAACCAAGCGAAAAAAGACAAATACTAGGACAAAAAAAAAGAAAAAAACTGAACAAAAAATGTACAAATTTTACATGGTTCGGATCCAAAATGCATCACCCACTAATGTTTAGTTTTATCTTCAGATCTCCATAATTTTCTCTTTAGAATAGTAATTGCATTATGCTCATAAATAACTTCTCCATTTCAGTCATAGAACCTTAACTCTAAAAAAAATTTTATTTTATCTATATTAGGATTTTCTTATGATAAATCTATGATACTTAACCCTACCATATTTAGGTTCTTTTCGAATAATTTTGAATGATAATTGTTGATCTTATATTCATTACATTTGTGTATCTTATATTTTGTTTTTGCCCTATTATCCTCAAGATGTTTTTCAAGGTTTTTTTTTTTTCCAATATTCTAGAGTTTCACTTATTTTCAATAAATCTCTCATTGATTATAACAATTTTGTATATAAAAATTATATACCAATGTGTCTTATTTTGAATATTCTTTGTAATTATTTTTCTTACCAATATGAAAGGATATTGACTTAATAATCTATCATAGTTGTTCTAAGGTTTAAAAGTTTGGTTACTCCACCACTATTGCTAATTTTTTAGTTAACACTCCATCATACAGATTTTTAATAACATTAGAGGCTTTTTTATACATGTATTTTCTTAACAAACACCAAATCAAGTCTCGTGATACTTAAGAACACACATTATCAAGATAAATACATAATTATCTAAATGTTCTTTTTTTGCTTTCCTTACCATTTCATTAATACCTCATAATGGATCTTCTAGACTTAAACACACTGATTTTTTAATACTAATGTGATGTTTCTATGTAGTTGTATCATTATTCTCTTTGATGATTCCAATTGAATGTCTCAAAAGTTAAATTTATCATTGTGGTTCAAAATCTTCTATATTTTTAAAATATCATTATAACAATGATGCTTCAATCATTTTGCTACCTTTCAATCTTTTAAATTTTATTGTAGAACTTAATGAACCAAACAATTGTAATCTCCTTTATAACTTTCCAAATCTCAATAGCCATCTAACCTAAAACTGAATATTTGCATTTATACATTTTCTTAGAGTTAACTAAGTTCATTTTAGTTTATCAATCATATAACATAACAGATTATCCAATTCAACACAATGTTTCAAAATAGTTTTTTTTTTTTTTAACTCTCATCTAATAATATATCAAATTTGTATTTTTTTTCTTTGGTTAACATCTTCTTCTTATGCTAGAAATTTTTTTATCTTTGACTTTAAGGTATTTAACATGTAATTTTATTATATTTTTTGAAATTTGATTTGTTTTTTTTTATTTACTTTGTTTATCTTATTTTCTCATTTAGTAGTATTTAGCCTATTTTTTAAGCAATTAAATTTCCTTTTTTTTTTTTTTTTTGCTAATGATATTTTATTCAAGGGTTGCTACACCGGTGTCCGGGTGTAGTGTCAAATAAACAAGAATTTCTACTTTACAAAATATTGCCGGTAAATAAGTTAGTCCATGAAACTAATATTAGGATAGGATCTTAGAATATAAATACTATCACAAGTAAATTAATGAAATTAGTTGATATTATGATTCATATGAAGATAAATATCCTATGCATTCAAGAGACTAAATGAATTAGAGAAAATACTAAGAAGATTGATAATTTAGGCTTTAAACTTTGATATTTAGGTAGGAGTCACACTAGAAATGGTGTAGGTGTAATTATAAATAAAAGCTTGAAAGATAATGTTGTAAAAATTAACAGAATTAGAGATGAAATTATAGTCCTAAAGATTATTTTTGATATTAAGATTTTTTATATTATAAGTGCTTGTGCTTATCAAGTATATGTTCAAAAAAAATTCTGGAATGACCTAGAAGAATTAATACAAATGATATCTCTTGTAGAAAAAATTTTTATTGGAGGAGATTTAAATATACATGTTAGAGTGGCATAAGATTTTAGAAATATTCATGGTGGCTACAATTTGGGAGTGATTGATAAAAAATGTAGAACCATATTAGATTTTAGTTTAGCGTATGATTTTGTTATTGTTAATGTCATATTTAAGAGAAATATATTGTATACTGAATTGTTGAATATATCATCATTACATTATTTAAATTTTAATAAATTAATTTAATATTTATTATAGCATCCGGTTCAAATTTTGAATTTTAAACCTTTCCTTTTGTTTCAATGTCTAGCCTTGTTTTTAAAACATTGAGAGGTAGGGTTTTTAGATACTAGTGTACTTCATCTCCCTTTCTTGAGATTCAAGTGGAAGTTCCATTATCTTTGATCTGTGAAATCTGGGAATATAAAAAAATAAAATTAGCAATGAAATCACCAAAATAACGTTGAAATTTTTGAAAAACAAAACAAGTGAGTGAGTTAATATATAGATACATGGCTCCAAATTAGCCACTTTACTGATGCATCAACAAATCTTTTATAGATTATTCCTTTGTTTTTTCCTAATTTGATTCACCAGCTTACGATATACCAATTATCTGCATACATTTAATTTTAATATCTTTATTTCTAGCAATAAACTTTCACAATTAGAAAGGAGTAAGGGAGCCTAAACATTTTGACATTTCAATCCACCAAACAGTAAAAGACAATTCAGGCCCAATGACGCCCCAAACCTACCTGTCTTCAGGATATGTTTCTGTTCTCTCAGCATTTTTCACAGTAGTTTAGTATTACTAGATAATATAGATAAAACAGCAAAGAAAATTAGAGCAACTTATATTGTTTCTTACAAAAATTTTCCTGAAAATTAGTTGTCTAACTGACTAGTAATTAGAAGAGAAGGTCATTTGGAAGGCCCACCACATATCATCATGTTGTGTAGAGTCATGATGGAGCTATGAAAGTATAATTAAATAAATTCCTTAAGAAAAGGAATGACATACAATTATGAAGTTTAAAAAAAATTCTTGGGCAAGAAATGTATTGTGTTTTAGCATGCAAAACATGAAAGTGCTGTGTATTTTTTTTTTTTTAAACTTTTTCAGACTAGAGAAGCTTTATTAGTTGCTGGACTAAGGTTCAAGTGCTAGATTATGAAAAACAGAAGTTAGAACATTTAAATAGAGCAGGCGTTTAAAAATGTTTGAGAATGTGACCATGTTCTATTTTTTTTTTCTTTTCTCCCACAAAATAAGATAAAATTCTCTCAGTGCTTCATTTATTCGTGATGCGAAGTTTTTTCCCCCCCAATTTATTGCTCTAATAACCAATGTTCGTGTAACAAGTTTTATTTTTCTTTGACTCTTTTTATAATTCTTTTGATTATCAGCTTCCCAGTTTTGTGATTCTCGATAAATCTACATAGAAAAATATATAGGCATTTTGGTAATGCTTTCTTTTACTTTCCTAAAACTTATGCAAGCTTTATTTTTCATTTCTAAAACGTAAGCATGCTTTCTTTTGCGTTCTTTGATTCAAAAAATTGACTGTATATATTTCATAATACTTGTAAATGACTAAATATTTTTCTCATTTTATTTCCTGTGAGAAATAGGCATAACAACTTACTTTGAATGGAATTCTCACCAGTGAAGGACAACTTCTTATATTTGCTAACTACTTAAACTAAGTCATATAGAATTGATTTGTATCTTTTTTAATTAGAACATCATTCATGTTGAATTCAGATTTGTCCTATAAGACCCAAAGAATAAAGCGGTACGATTGACAGGAAGGAGAGAGAGAGAGAGAGAGAGAGAGAGAGAGCACAACGAATTGCTCCTCTGGGGCAAAATATATATTGAATATGGAGTTTACAAGGAAAAGGGGAGATAGGCTCCAACAACAACAACAACAAAGCCTTAATCCCACTACGTGGGGTCGGCTATATGAATCCTTTTTTTCCAATCCTTTTTTTTTCCATTGCGTCCTATTTAATGTCATATTTTCATTTAGTTCTAGTAAATTAAGATCATTTTTTATACAATAAGCACAAGTCTTCCTAGGTCTACCTCTACCTTTCTTAACACAAGTCGAATCTAAAACATCTCTCCTAATCGGATCATTAGATGGTCGACGTCTAATGTGACCAAACCATCCCTTTAGAAAAAAAAAGGTCAAGAGTGAAGAGCCAAAATAACTCTTTATACATGATCTAGTCCCCCTATTTACAGAAGATCGAGGGACCAAAAAGGCTAAATTTAATGTTTTACACCTGCTCTAGAGGGTTGCATGGGGTATTATGGTCTTTTTGTATGCCTTAACCATCTGCCCGGCAGGTTTTCAAGTCGGTCGACTGAGTTGGTTTCAGTTGGCTTTCGTATAAGCACTGGTCGATTTTTGAATTTGAAGTCGGCCAGTTCTTGAGTGGGATGGTTGGTCGGCTTTTGGGTGGCCAGTCAGCTTTTTTGATTATTATCATTGGTGATCTTTGGGGGAGCTTTTGAGAGTGTTTTGTGTTAATACTGTTAGATCGTTGGAGATGCTAGACTTTTATTTGGTCATTTCCTTTAGAGTGATCGGTGTGGAATGTGGATGCTTGTCTCTTGTTGGCTTGGGTGGACTTTTAGTTGATTGAGCTTGCCTTTGGTCCGCTGGGTTGGCTATCAGCCGGTTTGACTAATGAGATTTTATAGTTTTTCGTCCGCGTCATTTATCCTTTGATCTTGGACGATTAGATTATCTCGAGATTCGTGTTGATATATTTTTGGTGTACATATTTAGTTTTTTGATTCTCTTAATTTTTGATAGCAACGACTGTGATAAGA